CCTCTGCTGGGGTCCCCCCTCTGCAGATGCAGAGTATCCAAGATGAGCCCCAAAATTGTAAGAAATGAACTTACCTGTTCAAAAACAAAGAAGGACACAGAGACATGGAGTGCAGCAGAAATGAGACATTAATGTCAGTCTTGCAAGATCGGGTGTCTGGTGGGCAGGCACACCAAAACCTACATATTTATTTATTGTTGAAAGTGAAGATATAATTGTTTTATGCTTTTTACTCTTTTTTGTTTCTTGAGTTGGGGTGCCACTCTGTCTCCCAGACTGGAGTTCAATGGCTTGATCAAAACTCACTGCAGCCTTGACCTGCTAGGCTCAGATGATCCTTCCACTCAAGCCTCCCAAGGAGCTGGGACTACAGACACATGCCACCACTCTTGACTAGTTTTAAAAAAATTTTTTTGTAGAGACAAGGACTCACTATTTTGCCTTGGCTGAACTCAAACTTCTGAGCTCAAGCAATCCTGCTGCCTCGGCCTCCCAAAGTGCTGGGATTACAGGTGTGATCTCCCACGCTGGGCCTGTTTTGTTTTTTAAAATATAAACAATCCTGTTTTACATAATGCCTTGTTCTTATTATTTAATCTTATAAAAATATAAACTCCAGAGAATATCTTTAAGCATTCCAGAATTTTCTTAATCCTCTTATATGTAGGTTATTGTCCCTACTTCTTGCTATTAGAAATATCAATGGAAACACTTTTTTTCTTTCATCTGTATTATTTGCTTAGGGTAAATTCTCAGAAGTAGGACTACTGGATCAAAGGATGTTAACTTTTTTATTCTTAAATATTAATCTTTGGTGGAGGACTCTGTAAACATGAATTTGCCTAATCAATCTTAGTTTATAAAAATGCTTTGATATATTCATTTTTGGGGGCAAAGTTTGTATAGAATAAAAATAACATTTAATTTTAAAAGTCCACAGCACTCTGAATATCCATTTAAAGAAGTAAATTGTAATAGAAAAGAATGTGTTACTTCTAAACTGCTAGTGAGAGTGTAAACTAATACAGCCTCTGTGAAAAACAGTTTGGCGACTCCTAAAATATCTAAAAATTGACCTTCCATATGACCCTGCAATCCCCCTTCTGGAAATATACCCAGAGGAACTCAAATCACTTTATGAAAAAGATACCTGCACACGTATGTTTATTACAACATGATTCACAATAGCAAAAACATGAAACCAGTAGTGCTGCCTATCCAAAGCGGACTGGATAAAGATATGGTACATACCCCCCGATTGAATATTACACAGTCATAAAAAAAGGACAAAATTATGAACTTCACAGCAACTTGGATGGACTTAGAGTTCATAATACTGAGTGATCTATCATAGAAATAAAGAACTGAGTACCACATGTTCTCACTCATAAGTGGACCATGAACAATTATTGTAATACTATAAGAAAAGGACTGGCAATAGTGGAAATCTATTGGGGTGGGGGCACAACTCTTCAACAAGGGTACCTGCATAATGAACATTTGTATAACTAACCCTGAATTGTACCCCACATCTTTAAAATTAAAAAAAAAAATAAAATGTACAACCACTTTGCGGGGGGGAAAAGATTGTGTTAACCTCATTATAAGGCCATTTATAAACTGATGGTGCAATAGATTGTGTTTTAAGATCCATCTCTCCTCAACAAAAAAACACAAAACCCCATTTGGTCCTTCCTCAACTCATAGATGCAAGTCCAATGTAAAATGTCTGGCACATTCCCCCAGCAATTCCCTTAGGTGCTGGAGGCTTTTACAACTTCTACAGCTGCAATTTTATTTAAACTTAGATGAGAGTGGGGAAGAGGGAGAGATTATTAAAGAAAAGATGACAGCCATCTGCTCTCTTCTTCACAATGAGGTGAGAAATGAGGATACAGAATTTTTTTTTCTTTTTTAAAAAAGGTTTAGGTTAGAAAAACATTTTGGAAAACAGTGTACTGAAAGAACAGGTCAGAAAAAAGAATTATCTCACTCAAGACTGGTTTGCATCTTTAGAATGCAGTTTCCTGTTACTTATACTCTAAAAGACTAACAAAATGACTTACTTATATGTGGGAACGAACCTCTTTACCAAAAATCCCCTTTGTAGAAGGGTGGTTATTAATGACCTGTAAGGAATTAGCACCAAAAACTGAACTAAAGAAGAAAATCTGCCACAATCTGATCTTTGAAGAAGAAAGTTTTCTTACCTATAGCTGCTACTTCTATAAACTACCTATAAAATAAGTATGAGACAGACTGACTGTTCTGTACAATTACAGACTATTCTCAGAATCTTCAAACTAAGTCCATTCATTGTGGCATTGTAATATGCTCAATGTATACAATGTAGGAATATAAGAGGTATTAACCAATTAAGACAAACACTTTTAAACAGAAAACTTCTAATAGTTAAATTTGGATCCAAGTGTTTTGTATAAATATTTTTGTTAAATTTGTAAACTTAGCCGATTATCTACAGAGAAAATTTAGAGTAAAACTGCTCTTGAATCTATTAGGTTTATGAAAAATCACATAAAAAGTTAACACTAAAGTTTCTTAATAGTTAATCCAGTAAAGGTTTTGTCTACCAGCAAGCTAATAGACAGACTTAAACATAAGACCATGTTTTAAAAAGTCATAAATCTTTACAATGAATTTTGAAAGCTTTGGTTCACTTATTTTATTTTACTATAAATGGCTTTCAGATAGTTTTGAATAGCTATGATACATTAAAAAAAAAAAACAGAACCAGGCACACTGGCACGTGCCTGTAGTCCCAGCTACGTGCAAGGCCAAGGCAGGAGTATCGTTTGCACCCAGGAGTTTAAGACTAGTCTAGGCAACATAGTGAGACTCTGCCTCCTAAAAAACAAAATCAAACTGAGATGCTTGGCATTGAGAATAATATGGAAACTATGAGAAGTAAATATTAAAAAGAAGGTATTTGAAGGTTCTTGCCTTCTTTTCATAAACCCAGTGACTATTTATAGAAATTGTCTGAAACTTCAAACCTATTTCTCTTTGGACCCTATATTAGAAAACATGAGGGTATGAATTTCAATGAGAGATTCCATCCATCCTTTATCCTAAAAGAACCACTGATATTAGAGGATGTTATTCACTACTGTGAAAATCACCAAACAGCACACCATTAAGCTAGCTTGAGTCCGTCAGTTGATTCTATAAAAATGACATGGCCAAATCATTAAAGTGACAAAACTCATTCTCGAACAAGTTTGAGAAAACTTATTTCTCAAAGAACGCAGATTTTATGAAAGTGATTCATGTCTCATGTAACCAAATGCCAGTTCAGCATATTCACAAGAATTAGACTCAAAGTTAAGTGGTAAATGTCTTAACATTGAGTTTCATATGGCTTCTTTATTACTGAGACTTTATTATTATGAAAATCTGTTTATCCCTATAGCCACTGGCAAGGTTTCTGGCACAGGTTCAGTACAAAAGCGTCCATAATCATGAAGCCATTCTAAATGAGTTTTTTAAAATACTGAGGCTCAATAAGACTTATCACAGATTTGAAAAGAAAGAAAAGTTCAAAAATAAACGGGGCACAAAGAGAAACTTTTTTGTCCTATGTAAATGGTCAATCAGTCCAATTATCTATCACACTTCTCAAACTGGTTATGACTAGGAGGACTGATAATAGGAACTGATGAGAACAGATGGAGTGACATCACTAGTCACAGCCACTTAGCAGGATCAGATGGCATCAGTGGAGACTTGTATCACAAGAAAAGGAGTAGCTGTACTTAAAAAGGACATGAATACCAATTGATGAAACTTTTACAAACCAAATCAATTTCAATCTACAGATTAAATTAGTATTATAATTAACATCTTGATGAATCAAGCATTGTACCATAAAACTTCAAAGCACAAGACCATAAAACACAGTTTTTTAAAGCTAATTTTAATCCATCATTGCTTCTAAAAAAGAAAGTTTCATTAAATATACTCACTATTCCTTTTTAACTTTTTATTTTAAAATAATTATAGTTACAAGTTGCAAAGAAATGTACAGAGAAGTCAAAAGCACTTTTCCTCCAGTGTCGAATGTTAACATTTCATATAACTATACCAAGCAAATTGCCATCAACACAATTCATAGAGTTTATGTGAAATGGACCAGTTATACACTCATTTGTATTTGTGTACACATGCAGATCGCTGTAATTTTCTCACATGTGTAGCCTTGTGTTCCATCACCACCACTAATCAAGACACTCACCTGTTACTACTTTGTAGCCAATAATCTTTACTAAACAATTAGTTAACAAAGAAAGGTCAAGACACTATCCTATTTCAGTCATCATATCAAGAGTAGATACTTTAGATACTGAGGAGTGGAAAAAATAACCATGTATTTCTTTTTATTTTAACTCCTAAGGGAATCCAAGTTAAGAAAAGCAAACAAGTGCCTGCAGAGAAGATGAAAGGCAGCTCTGAAGGTGGTGGTGTTTGACTATCAGCAAGAAGAGGGGAATGGGGAAACATTTTCCGTGGAGGCTGAGATACAGCTGGTAAAGTCAACCCAAATCAGGTAGTACAAGACAGTCTAAGCTTTCTAGCAAGCTTCCTCAAAACACTAGATTAGCTAAGAGATCAAAAGGCTGTTATGCAGTTCATCATAAAGGAAAAACAATAAACTACTTTCATTTCATAGACGTATCATGCAATATATTTAAAACGTGTTTATTAAACTGAATATATCATTTAACAGAAATATAGATTGGTTAGGCTTAAAAATGTACTAGGTACTTCATTAAACCTTTATTAAAATAGCTAGTATCACAGAAAAAAAGACTTTAAAACCAGAACACATCTGTAGACATCTACTAAGAAATGATACCATTAATATGCGAAACTTTTTCAAAATGCAGTGACTAATCAGAGATAAAATTTGCATACGTTAAATAATAATGTGGGCAATAACAACTATAAAAAAGAAAGCTAGTCTAGTTAATTCCAATACTTACATTCAAATGTCAGGATCCAGCATCCATTGAGTATCCCAAGCATACACTTCACAGTACTTTGAACTTTATCACCAGGAACAATAACATGAGTTACTAGAATATAAAAAAAGTAGTAAGAGAAAAAGAGATACAAACCAATATAAGTCTCCAACTAGCTTGCTTTTTATAATTAGTCTATGTTTTAAAAACTTGTATCTGAATTTTCTTCAAAGAAAACAATTTCTACACTTAAGACTTTATTTATCATTCTCTAATCTGGCTAGCAACATGAAAAATCAGATCATATACCATGTATCTTAAAGCCATATTAGCAAACATACATTTTTCTTTTCTTTTCAATTATAACTAAGGAATTATGGCATTATATTGCACTGCACTACAATTTATCTGACGGCCAGGCACAGTGGCTCAGCCTGTAATCCCATCACTTTGGGAGGCGGAGGTGAGAGGACTGCCTGAGCGTGGGGGTTCGAGACCAGCCTAGGCAACTTGGTGAGACCTCATCTCTACAATAAATCACAAAAATTAGCCAGGCATGGTAGCGTGCGCCTGTTGTTCCAGCTACTTGGAAGGCTGAGGCGGACAGATCGCCTGAGCCCATCAGCTTGAGGCTGTGGTGGCCGTGAGCAACAAACCACTGCATTCCAGCCTGGGTGACAGAGTGAGACTCCAAATCAAAAAAAGAATTTTTTTCATTAGCAAACTCAAAACTTTGCTCTTCTAACAAACTGTTCTGTCATAAAATATATGCAAAGCTTTAAATTTTACATTTCTTAACTGCATTAAGCCTATAAGTAATTTATTACTGAAAAAATATTTTAGATTTATGACAAGATGCAAAGTATATAGCCATCTTTTAATGACTAAAACATATATAAATTATCAAAGGTAGTTCTTCAAAGGGATCACCTATTTACATTTTTTTCTACCAAAAAACTCAAAAGCCTCACCTGTACTATCAAATTCAGCACATTTTTTAGCTTTAAGAATTGATGCAAGCTCACTGAGCATCTTCTGTTGTTCCGAAGAAAGCCCACTGCCTATAAGAACAAGAGGTCCATCCCTACGTTGTCCAGTGTTCATCTGTCAATGAGGAGACATCAGTGTTAAAAACATCTGAAGACAAGAGAAAGCCATTAAATAGACACTCAGTTGATATAACCCTTAATTTCATTACCCTACCTAATAATTTTCAATAGTTTCATTAAATCTGTGCAGAACCTTGATGGTCAAAACATTTAAATAATTATTTTTCAGCCGGGCTCGGTGGCTCAGCCTGTAATCCTGTGCCTTTGGGAGGCTGAGGTGAGTGGATTGCCTGAGCCCGCGGGTTCAAGACCCACCTGGACAGCGAGACCTCATCTCTACAATAAATCAAAAA